GCTCCCAGTGGGACCAGCGTCAGCAGTGCCGGATGCGTCACCATCGCCACCAGTGGCACCATTGCTCCCAAGGACACCAGTGCCACCAGTGCGCCCAGTGTCTCCGTTGCTCCTAAGGACACCAGTGCTCCCAGTGCCACCAGTGCGCCCAGTGTCTCCATTGCTCCTAAGGACACCAGTGTCACCAGTGTCCTGAGTCGTCCCAGTGTGACCAGCGTCCCCGCTGCGCCCAGTGTCACCAGTGCAACCAGTGTCCTGAGCCGGCCCGGTGCCACCAGTATGGCCAGTGTCCCTGCTGGTCCCAGTGTCACCAGTGTCCTGAGCCATCCCATTGTGACCAGTGCAACCAGTGTCACCAGTATGACCAGCGTCCCTGCTGCGCCCAGTGTCACCAGTGTCCTGAGCCGTCCCAGCGCGACCAGTATGACCAGCGTCCCCACTGGGCCCAGTGTCACCAGTGCCCTGAGCCGTCCCAGCGCGACCAGTATGACCAGTGTCCCCACTGGTCCCAGTGTCACCAGTGTCCTGAGCCGTCCCAGTGCAACCAGTATGGCCAGCGTCCTCACTGGGCCCAATCTCACCAGTGTCCTGAGCCGTCCCAGTGCGACCAGTATGACCAGTGTCCCCACTGGTCCCAGCATCGCAAGTGTCCTGAGCTGCTCCAGTGCAACCAGTGTCACCAGTGCTACCGGTGTCCCCGCTGGTTCTAACGTGACCAGTGTCCTGAGCCGCCCCAGTGCGACCAGTGTCCCCACTATGACCGGTGTCCCCACTGGTCCCAGCGTCACCAGTATGACCAGTGCTGCCATCGCTCCCAGGGACACCAGTGTGACCAGTGCCACCAGTGTCCCCAGTGCTCGCAGTAGCCCCAGCGTGACCATCGCTCCCAGTGCCACCAGTATGAGCAGTGCACACAGTGTCCCCAGCTCTCCGAGGGAGCCCAGTATCGCCAGTGCAACCAGTGTCACCATCACACCCATGGACACCAGGACCACCAGTGCTCCCAGTGTCACCGTTGCTCCTAAGGACACCGGTATGACCAGTGTCTCCAGTGCTCCCAGTGTCACCGTTGTTCCTAAGGACACCAGTATGACCAGTGTCTCCAGTGTCACCATTGTTCCTAAGGATACCAGTATCACCAGTGTCACCATTGCTCCTAAGGACACCAGTATGACCAGTGCTCCCAGTGTCACCATTGTTACTAAGGACACCAGTGCTCCCAGTGTCACCAGTGTGCCCAGCGTCTCCATTGCTCCTAAGGACACCAGTGCTCCCAGTGTCACCAGTATGACCAGTGCTCCCAGTGTCACCATTGCTCCTAAGGACACCAGTGTCACCAGTGCTCCCAGTGTCACCATTGCTCCTAAGGACACCAGTA